GCCCACCGGGACCACCCACTGTGGGCTGCCACCTCTCTCCTGACACGCCTGCCTGCCTGTTTGCTCATCCCTGGCTTCTGAGTGTGCCCGTCCAGCCTGCCTCCCCCCAGTGGTCTCTCGGCCCCCAGCCTGGCTAGATCTTGTCTGTCCTGATCTTCCCTTCTCCACACAAAGCCAGAAAGTTAGCGCCAACGAGTATGAGGTTTCTTGCTGGTGATAAAATATTCTGAAGTTGCTTGTGGTGATGGCTGCAAACTCTGCAGATGCTAAAAAAAATCTTTGAACGGTACACTTAAAAGTCCATCAGATCATCCCTTCTCTGCTCAAAACCCTCCAATACTACCCTCTGGGATCTGACCTCACCTACACTGCCCATCCTCCTTGCTGGCCTTCTTAATGTTTCCTAAGCAAGCTCCTATTCCAGAGCTCTGAACCTGTTGTGCCTTTGCCCAGAATGTTCTTCTCCCAATAGCTGTGTATCTCGTTCCTCTCGTACTTTAGATTTCAGCTCCAGTGGCATCATTGTAAAGAGCTTCCTTGTGACCTTAAGTAAAACAGCATTCCACCCTGACACACAAGACCCACCGCTTACCCGCCCTACCGTCTTACACACCACTAAACTGTTCCTTTCCATACTTTTTATTTTCTCTCTATCCCCATCAGAACGAAAGCTCCTTTATTTTGTTCCCTACCACATCTTTACTTGGTACCTAGAACACAAAAGGCAGGCAACAGAGAGCAAATATTTGTTGAATGAATGAATAAATAACTGGTCCAATTGCAACCCATTCCTTTTTTTTTTTTTAACTGTTTACCCATTCTTGACTCTAGCAATAGCACAACCGAAACATAAGTAGGTTTAACTATTACACACATACTTTAACATTGATATTAATAAAATTCATACCTTCAGAGAGTTAATACCATTCCTGATAAAAGATCTGCCTTTCTTGGCATTTAGATTTGCTAAAAAATGATGACAACAACAAAAGAAATCTGAACATCTTGGAATAAGGAGGGTTGGGCAGAAATCTAAATGGCTAAATTGCAAATGCAGGTAAAAAAAAAAAAATCAATTCTAAGCTTCCTGATAGTGACAAACCACAGAGTATTTTAGAGCAGTGATTTTGCCATACTGACTTAGCATAAAGTGCAAGTGACCTTTCCTGTGAGGCCAAAATAGGAACTATTGTAGATTCAGGTCAATGAACAGAACTCACTGTAAGCAGGCTTTGGTGCCTCAAAAAGGATGAAACCCCATGTGCCTATAACATCCATTAGTGCAGTTAAAGATGAGACACAGCAGGGAGACTGTGTGTTTACCCATCACATTCTGATCAACTTGGGGTCAAGGGCTCTAACTCATGCATGTTTATACCCCCTACCCCAGAGTCTGCACTGGGCCAAATGTATACTCGCTGAATGAATAATTCCTAGTGATCAACGCCCCCAAATTATATACCCAATGAAGCACCCATAAACTCATGTACATACGGCAGTTTATTTTCAGAATAATTTCTGAAAGCAAAACAATTCTCATTGTCATAGCTACTATGACATAATGTTAAAACTACTGTCCCAGGGCGCCTGGGTGGCTCAGTCGTTAAGCGTCTGCCTTCGGCTCAGGTCATGATCCCAGGGTCCTGGGGTGGAGTCCCACATCGGGCTTCCTGCTCCGCAGGAGGCCTGCTTTTCCCTCTCCCACTCCCCCTGCTTGTGTTCCCTCTCTCGCTGTGTCTGTCAAATAAATAAAATCTTTAAAAAAAAAAACAACAAAAACTACTGTCCCAAGTTCACTTATCTCAGTCTTAAAAAGGCAACTAAAAGCCAGACAGACTGAAGAGAACATTCAAAGTATCACCTGGCATATGACTTATCACAAAAGGCTTAAGGTACCCTTTCAGTGGAGATCTGACAAGCACCGCCTTCACCAAATGATATACAGCATTACCAATAAAGGCACACACTGCTGTTGAGTGTCTCCTGAGGTAGTGCACTGGGAAGTGGACATCACCTATATAGCTAGAATTCTTTGTGGTTTTTTAGATTTATTTATTTATTTATTTTATGGGGGGAGGGGCAGAGGGCAAGGGAGAAAGACCATCTCAAGCAGACTCCCCACTGAGCACAGAGCCAGCAGGGGGCTCGATCTCAGGGCCCCAAGACTGACCTGAGCCAAAAACAGTCACAGGCTTAACTGGCTGAGCCACTCAGGCACCCCCCCCCCCCCGTAGGTAGTACTCTAAGCCAAAATGTTTAATCTGAATGTAATCGTGAAAAAGCAATCAGATAAACTTAGATTATGGGACAGTCTAGGAAATCAGCAAGGACTCTTCAAAAACATCAAGCTCAAGAAACAGATGGAGTAACTGTTCTAGATTCAAGGAGACTAAAGAGACATGATAATTAAATGCAACGTGTGGGGGCGCCTGGGTGGCTCAGTCATTAAGAGTCTGCCTTCAGCTCAGGTCATGATCCTGGGGTCCTGGGATCCAGCCCCATATCAGGTTCCCTGCTCTTTGGGAAGCCTCGAGGAGCCTGCTTCTCCCTCTCCCTCTGCCTGCAGCTCCCCCTGCTTCTGCTCTCTTTCTGTCAAATACATAAATAAAATCTTAAAAAAAAAAAATGCAATGTGTGACCCTTGATTAGATCTGGGGTTTTTTCTTAAAGAAAAAAAGCTATAAAAGACATTATTCAGACAATTGGGAAATTTAAATACGGCCTGTACATTAGACAGCATTATTTTTTTGTTGTTGTTAATTTTAAGTAGGCTCCACAACCAACATGGGGCTTGAACTCACAACTCTGAGACTGAGTTGCGTGCTCTACCAACTGAGCCAGCCAGGTGCCTCTAGACACCATTATTCTATTGTTAAATTTCTTGGGTGTGATAAGGGTTTTTTGGCTATGACAGAAAGTGGACTCATTTTAAAAGATACATGCTGAAGTATTAGGTGTCCGGTACCATCACTTCAATAATTTCCTTTTAAATGTCTCCGCATAAAGTAAAAATGTTATGTATATATATGTACATACATAATACACACACAATATACATATATATGCACAGAGATGCGGAAGTAAAAATATTAATAATGAGTCTAGATAAAGGATATATGTTCATTATACTAGTACTTCAATTTTTCAGTATGTTTGAAAATTTCAAAATAATGAGTTGGGGGAGAAATAAGGAAACAAAACAGACTAATCTGGCCCAGTAGTACCTCTGGGCTGCATGAACATTTCATCTTTTTTTTTTTTAAGATTTTATTTATTTATATGACAGAGAGAGACACAGCGAGAGAGGGAACACAAGCAGGGGGAGCGAGAGAGGGAACACAAGCAGGGGGAGCGGGAGAGGGAGAAGCAGGCCTCCCGCCCAGCAGGGAGCCCGATGCAGGGCTCGATCCCAGGGCCCTGGGATCATGACCTGAGCCGAAGGCAGACGCTTAACGACTGAGCTACCCAGGCGCCCCAACATTTCACCTTTTAAACAGTGTCTACAGAATGCCATATATTTCTGTTGTCACTGTCAAATGTGATCTTAGTACCTTTTGAAACAAAGTGAGTTGCCAGATTATTATTTTAGGTATAGTTCGAAAGTAACATCTGCATCTGCCCCAACATGGTTATTATCAGCTGTCCGGGGAAAATACTAGGCAGGTAATACCCAGCAAGTCTCGGGTGTCCACTGAATGGCACCTGGCAGTCGCTTCCCAGTGGATGAGAAATCACAGGTGCCTTGTTTATGACTGCAGTCAGTAATCCAATCGTCCCTCCTTTGACGGTCTCAGGCCCAGTTCTCGAACTGTTTACCAAGTTAACATACCGGTCAGCTTTTCCGGGACAGCCCAACCTCACCCTTCAATCGCCACTGTTGTGTCTTCTTGCCTTATCTGATCCAACACTGAACTGTGCCCTCCTCTCAAAGCCTTTATTAGCTTCCCAAGTAATTTCTCCTCCTCCCAGCCTTCTGAGCACGCAGAGCTTTCTACCTTGCGTTGTAATTTTTAAAAACCCTTACACCAGGCCCAGCAGAAGCTCCAGTGGGCGTTAAGAAGAGTGAAAAGGAGGGGTGGCTCAGTTGGTTAAGCGACTGCCTTCGGCTCAGGTCATGATCCTGGAGTCCCAGGATCGAGTCCCACATCGAGTCCCAGGATCGAGTCCCAGGATCGAGTCCCACATCGAGTCCCGCATCGGGCTCCCTGCTCGGCGGGGAGTCTGCTTCTCCCTCTGACCCTCCCCCCTCTCATGCTCTCTCTCTCTCTCTCATTCTCTCTCTCAAATAAATAAATAAAATCTTTAAAAAAAAAAAAGTGAAAAGGAATCTGTTTCAAAGATCTCGAACGCATGAGTGGGGAACTCGGCAACAGGTCTCAGAAAGTGTTTCCAGAAAGAGAAGCTGGCGGACTGGGTGCATTTGGACGAGGTGAGAGCGAACGGCAGACAACCTGCGGGCGCTGAGGCAAGACTAGACCCCAGGGGAGCGCGATCGCTGCGTTCGGTCCCTCAGTCCGGCCCGGACGGTTCAGCGTCCGAGCCGCGAAAGCCGCGCGGCCGGCGCGGACCTCAGGGGCCAGGCGCATCGCACCCAAACAAGGAGGGGCGACCGCTTCCGGGGCTCCTTCGGGTCCCAGTCTGACCCTGGGGCGTCTGGAAACTCCAAAAGCAAAATCAGTCCGAGCGGGGGCCGAGCTCCCTCCACTGACCCGTCCACTCGCGGCCGCTCCCTTCGCTTTGGCCCCCAGCGCGGGGTCGCAGTAACTGGCCCGAGATGCCGGCGAGGAAGCGACGGGGAAAGGGCTATATCCCCCAAGTCCCCGCCGGGGGAGCGGGAACCTCCTTCCAGGAGGAAAACAGCCCAGGGAGTATGGGACCGCCGCGCGCAGAAGCCCCCAGGTCAGCCTGCCGGCCCGCCCGCCGGAGAAGCGGCGCCCCCCTGCCCGGCGGCAGCGCCAACACACGCAGTGCGCAAGCGCGGCACGGGGCGGGGCCGATACCTGGGAAGGAGCAGAGAGAAGTGGAGTTGGGGCACAGGGTCCCGTTGCCCACCCGCGGGACGAGCTTCAGGCTGAGGATCTGCTGTAGGAGCCCGGCCGACCCCCCGCTGCCGCCGCTCCCCTCGTGCTCCATCCCGCCGCCATTCACCGCTGAGAGATGGGTAGAGCGTCCGGAGTGCTGCCGCGGCTCGCTCGCACTCACGGACCGAAGCGCTCACCGAACCTTCGCCGCCTCAGCGTCACTTTCGGATGGAGCCCTCTTCCTCCCACCCCAACGGCGCGGCCAAGTGATGGGCCCTTCCTCCAATCACAGGGCGCTGCAGATGGCAGGGGCGGGGCGAGAGTTGCTCCCGCCCCTGACGTTGCGTACGGCTCTCCGAGATCTGTCACCCACTGGCTACGCCCCCTACTGGGCAAGTCTCTCCTGTCCAGGAGGATGCGCTCTGCTCTGCCTCTCTCTGCAGCGCCACCTATAAGAAAGTAGGGGAATTGCATACACACCACAGACCTGACGTGTAGATTTAAAAGGCATCTAGCAATGAGAACCATGTGAAGGAGGCTGGAAGACAGTGCAGCAATACCTTCAACATTTGGAGGGAAAGTGATTTTTTTTGAAAGCTTAACTTAGTTTAAATTGAACATTGTGTGCAAAATTTATCGTATTTTACGTATATTAAGAATTGCGTGCAAAATTTGTAGTATTTTATGTAATATTAATTCAAGAACATTAGCAAGATTTATAGAGTTCCCTCTTGAAGACTTTGAGAGCTAATGCCCACATTCAACACCGCAACTGCGATTTTGTATCAACTAAGAAACGTGACTAAAATAGCAATAGTAAGCACAAAAAAAGTCATGAAATATTTAATAATACTATCTTTTGGTACATTTCCCAGACTACCAGACTATGTAAGAAGTGGGAGAAACCAATTATTTTGGGGTTGTATAACAATCAATTGTGTGTCACATTAGGAAACATTATTTTGAATTTACAATTCTATCCTCAAATTCTGCATTGAGAGGTTATAAAAAAAGACAGGGCGCCAGGATGGCTCAGTCGGTTAAGCTTCTGCTTTCTGCTCAGGTCCTCGGGTCCTGGGATTGAGCCCCACATCGGGCTCCCTGCTCAGTGGGGAGCCTGCTTCTCCCTCTCCCTATGTCGCTCCCCCTGCTTGTGCTCTCTCTCTCTCCCTCTCTGTCAAATAAATAAGTAAAATAATTTTTTAAAAAAAGACATTTATATTTGCAGAACGCAGAAAATGCATGTTTTATATGCTCTTTCTAAGGAAGTTGAGTATGTCCTCCAGTAAAGTTAAGGAGTGATAACCAAGAAAGAGAAAGATATGCAATACAAGAAATGATGGATTTAACCAGGAGTGTTAGCCTGACTTCTGTGCACAGGTCCCAGCAGCTGCCTCACCAGATTAGAACAGAAAGAGTATCCTGAGGAAAAATAGTGAAATTGATTTCAAGCTATGGACAAAATGGTTAAGCTCAAATTTTTGGGGTGCCTGGGTGGCTCAGACGGTTGAGCATCTGCCTTC